TTTTTTTTTTAAACCAGGGATTGAACCCAGTGGTGCTTAACCAGTGAGCCACATCCCCAGCTAAATTGTTTAGGGCCTTGCTAAATTGCTGAGGCTAGTTTTGAACTTGCAATATTCCCGCCTCAGTCTCCGCAGGTGGGATTATAGGCTTGCGCCACCAAGCCTGGTTTTGTTACTTCTGAACTTCTTTTGCCAGTGTCTACACTGAAGATTCAAATATGAAAAAGAGATACCTTCCCCTCTTCTCAGGCAGTACCCCACTAATTTTTAGCCACGTGATAGAGCAGGAAATTTTTTTTTTTTTTTTGCAGGAGGAAACACTGTCTTTCTGGAAGGCTGGATCTTAAGTGAAGTTTATATTCTATTCCTTTGTTGATGTCATAATCATCTCTTCTGTTGCCCTGGAGCTCTGTGGCCATCAAAGAACTTTCAGAGTTAGGGTCTCATCTAATATTCAGGAAAACCTGAGTGAAACTCATAAGAGCCTGAAAGGTATCTCTAGTACAAACTTTGAGAAAACGAAGCCTCAGGAAGATTAAACTACCTGCCTATAGACACACAGGTTGCTATGGTCACCTGGATGCAGACTCAGATCTTTTGGCACAGATACCTGGATACAGTATTTGAACCTGAGATTCAGGTTCAGAATGTGGCCCAGAGTGGCAAAAGAGGAGATCTCAGGAACTTCGATCGAAATGACCCATTCTCTGACCTTCACCTGTACACTAGGAGTAGGACCACGGGTAATAACCACAACCACTAAGACCTTATCATGAAGCTCTTGTCTGACAACACATCTGTGCAGTTGTGCACTACTGTCCCATTTTACAGATGAACTGACCAGTATTTAGTTGGTAATTTGACCGAGGTTACAGAAACAAAATCCTGTCGCAAAGTTGTCTCCTGCTTTCCCCACCACCCAAGCCATCCACTAGTGGCTAGGAGAATTCCTCTAATATTTCTGAACCTCAGATTTCTAAAAATAACTAAAGATTGTAGGAACAATGAGAGGGTTATGGGAGATGACACATTAATGGCATGAAACAGCATCTTGTCCCCTTCCCCTCCTGAGCCTCTTGTACTTAAGAGAGTGGAGACTAAACCTATAAGTATCAAGAAAATAAGCCTCAAAAATACCCACCCTTTGAGCTTCAAGGTTACCCTATCTGTCATCTTACTGCCCTGATGGTGGGAAAGCTGGAGTCAGAAGTGGGGGCCTGGGGCCTGGGGTTGTGGCTCTATGGTAGAGCACTTGCCTCGCACGTATGAGGACCTACGTTTGATTCTCAGCACTGCATGTGAATAAATGAATAAAATAAAGGTCCAACAACAACTAAAAATTTTTAAAAATAATTTTATATATATAGTGGGGACCTGACCTGAAGTAACAAAGCATACCTGGGGTGGCATTTCTTGGGAGTGAACCATCCAATTCTTCCCTACCCTGAGAATGAAATTCCAAAGAATAATGTAAATATAGCAAATCAAAGAAAAAGGCCATAAACATTAGAATCCTGAGGCCTTAGTAACATCCCAGTATATAATTTCAACAAAGGTTGATTAGATACCATTTCTATGAGAGGAAATGGCCACCACTCATCAAGCTCTACTGTTCCGCAGGGTTTATGGAAAACCTTGGAGACAGAGTTTCCCATGTGGTATGTGAGACTCCAAGACAAGATGTGGCCAAGCTCAACAGGATACCAAAAAGAAACTGAGAACGTGGGTGTTTGTGAGGGGGGGCTGCTGGCGAAAGTCAGGAAACTGGGGGTGGGGGGCCTCTAAGCAAAGGGGATAGAAATGTAAGAAGCTCAGAGGTGACATGTAGTTTAATGCTGGGGGCTGTTTGGGGGCACGGAAGATTGCTGGAGGCTGGACTACTTGAGGCTGCAACTGGGGGAAACAGAGATAAAAGTTTGTACCTTTTTTTTTTTTTTTGGTACTGGGAATTGAATTCAGGAGCACTTGGCCATATCCCCAGCCCTAGCATCTGGGATTACAGGCATGGGCACCACACCCCACAAAAGTTCCTTTCAAACAGTCAGAATTGAACACCCTGAACTCCCCTCTCAACTCCATCTACATCAACCCCACTGTCAGAAGGGAAGGTATAAGACAACTCAGGAAGCGTGGGCTGGTGAAAGCTTTGCATTTTCATGATCTTTATATCCTTGTGGGGTTGGAGATTTCTCCCATTCAGGGGTTGTGTGGGACCCAGGGTGGAATCAGACAATTGATGCCTCCAAAATGCTTAAGGTCTGGTCACACAAAGGGGAATCTTTTGGAGGCATCAATAATTCTCATGTAACGCCTATGAAAAGGAAAAAAAAATAGAAAAAAATGTCAATGTCTAACAGAAGATAGGATAAATAAATGAAGGCAATATACTGGGGAATAAACAATCATTACATTTGGGGGGATGGTTCTGGGATTGAACCCAGGGCCTTGTGCATGCAAGGTAAACATTCTACCACTGAGCTAAACTCTAGCCTCAATCATTAAAAACTGAGCAAATAATTAAAAAAAAAAATGCTCGTGATAAGTAAATAAGTATACTGCTGGGTGCAGTGGTGCACACCCGTAATCCCAGTGACTCAGGTGGCTGAGACAGCAGGATTGCAAGTTCAAAGCCAGCCTTAGCAATTTAGAAGGCCCCAAGCAACTGTGTGAGACCCTGTCTCAAAATAAAAAGTAAAAAAGGCTGGGGAGGTTGCTCAGTGGTTAAGCACCCCTGAGTTCAATCCCGTGTGCCAAAAAACAAAACAAAATAAACCAAAGCTTCACTTCTAGTATTCAATAATGGGCATGTAATGCTATTATCATCATAAAATTAATAAAGATTTTTATTAAAAAGTATCAGCATCTTATCATGGAAATCAGTGATTGGGGCCCCATAGTGGGCCCTGTATCATTGTCACCTCTTAGGGCCTCAGCTTGGCCCTCTACAAAATGGAGACCAAAACCACAAGATGAAAGCCCCTTCAACTTTATTGGGGATGTAGCTCAGTGGTAGAGTGCTTGTCTAGCATGTGCAAAGTCTTGGGTTTAATTTCCAATACTACAAACTACAAAAATAATTAAATAAAAAGGAAAAAATTTAAATTAACCATAAAGGGGCTACAGGAGCTTAGAAAACTGACCAGGTCAGGCCCCTACTCCTGGAAAAAGCAGGGCTACAGCAGGATCTCCAGGGAAGGGAGGATTTGGATTGGGGATTGGGAGAGAAAGGGAAATTTCTTTTAAATATTACTGTATCAAAATCATCTGAGACATGCCTGATGGGAAGATCTGTTCTAGGGCAGAAGGCTGGTGTCAAAGCCAGACTGGACGGAGGCTCGAAAATTCTGTGTAAAAGGTGATAAGCACATCATGGATTGACAGTGCCTGATTCTTCTTCAGGTGTTTCTGGCCTTTTGCCACAGCAAAATGGTCCCCTGTCCCAAAGTTGGTGCTCGCTAATTTTTACCAAATAAATGAATGTCACTGGGAAACCATCACCCATCTTTAGTGTTCAATTTACTTACCTGTGAGGTGGTAGTTTGAGGTGATTATAAATTATCTGGGAGAATAAGTCACAGCACAACACCAGTATGGTGGTGCTGCCCCTATTTACCAAGCCAGTACACTGAGATTCTCAGGGGCCAAGTTACTCATCCAAGGTCTGGGGTGCCTCCTGGTTGCTCCTGCAAACCTTTTAATTCTACCGCCGCTGCGCGTCGCTTCCAAACCCGAACCCAAGATCTAGCTTAGCTAGTTCTAGTTAAGTCAGCACAGAGAGTAGGCGCGGGCCGTGGGTCACACCCGATGACGCCTGACCCCTCCGCGTCCCCTCGCCTCTCCGCAGTGGCTACTCAAGGCCGGATGGTGCTGCAGACCCGGATCCCTCAGGAATTCTGGGGTGGGGACGCGGGAAAGGAGCCCAACCCTCAGGTTGCTCCGCCGGACAGTCGGGATTCGGGCGCTTCCAGCGGGACCCGAAGCGGGCGCGGGTTTTAACAAACTGGCGGCAGGGGCCAGCCCTGATCTGCGCGGGTTTTCAAATTCAAGAGGCTTGAGACCCGTCGGGTGGGAGTCACCGCGACTCCACCCGAGCGGCCAGGTTGCTCTCCCCTCCCCCCCGGTGCTCGTCTTTGAATTGGAGGGGAAACGGCATGGACGGGGTACTTAGTTCAGGCGCGGAGTGAGAAGACCCAAAAGCCGGGTAGTGGTAGTGGGGAACCTTCTAGGTCATTCGAGGTATCCCCTCATAGGGCTAATAGCCATTAGGGCCACGAGAGGTATTTTCCAGCCTTGAGCGCCATTCAGAGATTGAGAGCGGAAAAGGAGTTTGCCTCCTAAGTCCCACCCTCTGGGCTAGGAGCCTGATGCCAGAGAGGGGAAGTGATTTCCTCAAGGTCACTCAGCAAAACAACGCCCAAGGCAGACCAAAGCCCAGGTGTCTGCCATTCTCCCCCTCCCCCGCCTATCATCCTCTGAACCCGGACCCCGCAGCTCTGAGCTGTGGGAAGGACGGTTCGAACTGCGACCCGGCGAGTAGATCTGGGGGCAAAGGCAACGCGTCGAACACCCCGTTTTCCTACACTAGGTTAAAGGGGAGCCCACCATCCCGGGGCTTCGCGGAGGGCGCACTCGCGTGGGGCCGACAGGGCGGGGATGCGGCGTGCCTGGCACTCGGCTCCACCTCCGGCGGCGCGCGGCTCCTTTAAGAAAGTTCGCTGGGCCAGTTCATCAAAGTTTAAAAACTGGTCGTGGAGAAGGGAATGGGGGAAGCAGAGAGGGAGAGGGTGACCAAGAGGAGAAGGGAAAGGCCGCGCCGAAGGCCGGCGCGTCGCGGCCGGGACCGGGGCGAGACCGCAGTGGGCGGCCGGGATTGGCTGTGCGTTCCCCCGGAGACGGCGGGAGGGCGGGGGAGGGGCTGGCCGGGCCCCAGCTGAGGCCGGTTCCGGCCCCCGCCCCCCGGCGCCCGCCCCCTCCCCCGGCGCCCGCCCCCCGCCGCCGCCGCCGCCGCCGCCGCCGCCGCGGGCGCACTCGCCGGTCGCAGTGAAAAGGCGGAGGCGGCGGCCGCTCGGGCTCGGCTCTGGTTCCCAGTGCCTCCCCCGCCGCACCCTCTCCCCACCTCCCGCACCCGCCAAACTTGATGTGACCCCGGCCTGACGCGGCGGCTGCCCCTCTCACTGCCCCGCGGGCCCCCACCGCCACCCCGCCCCGCACCCCCGGAGCGCACCGCTCACCGCGCCCCTTCCCACATCCCGGCCGGGGCCAGGCGCCGCGCTCGCCCTCCGCGTTCCCTTCCCTCGCCACCCCTTCCCCCTTCACCATGAGCAACCTGAAGCCGGACGGCGAGCACAGCACCGGCACCGGCACGGGCTCCGGCACAACCCTGGAGGAGGAGGTGGGTCTGTGGCCCCGGGACTAGGGTGAAGTGCACGCGGAGGTGGACGCGGGAGAGGACGTGCGGGGCCTTCTGCGCCGCTCGGGGTCGGTCGGGCCATCGCTCCTGGCGCCTTCCCGCTGCTGCCCTTCGCCCAGGGAGGAGCAGCCCGTGTCCTGCGGGCGGGGGCGTGCGGCCTGGACTGCCTCGCGGGGCAGGCATTGTCTCCCCGCCCTCCCGGGCTCGAGGAGGGCCGCGCGTCGTCCGTGCGTCTAGCGGTGGGTTGGCTGCACCGCGTCGGTCCCACGCCTGCTGCCCGCACGTCCCTCGCACCCCACCCCCAGCCCGACTTGCTGCCTTAGTCTGGGGAGCACCTTCCAGGTGGCCGGGACCCTCGTCTCAACTACAAGCGGAGCGGCACCCTCACCTTTCTACCCTTTCCACCCTGATCCCTTCCCATGACCTTGGAGGCCTGCGCCGGCCGCCCCCACCTGGGTTCACTAGAGTTGTAGTCATGGGACCGGGCAGGCTTTCTTCACAACCCCTGAACCTGGGTTTTGGCATAGGTGAGCCGGCAATTAACTGGAGTTGGGAAAGAGATGACTAAATACATTCAGTTCCCGGTTTTCCGATTTTGCACTGGTAGCCAAGCCAGGACCCCAAAGCTGGCCTGGGTGGGATCCTGCGAGAAGCGATGACATCATCTTGTCCACTGGCCATGTGCTAATAGGGAGTATGAGATGGCTTCATGGAATCCCCAGCAGCTTGTCGGTTGATGGGATGGTGAAGTGGATGTGTGGGGGTGAGGCGGTGGATAAAAATCTTAGAGCTTTCAGTAAATGTGAGGGTGGCCAGCAGAGAGGAGAACTGGTGTGGAAAGGGGACAGCCTTCTTAGCTCCTAAGAAGGGCCTCTGCTGTGTCACCCAGGGCTGAAAGACCCTTCCTGCCTGGTCCTGGAATGTTCTTGCCCAGGAAACCGGGGGCCAGTTATCCATCTTGAGCGTTCTTCCTTTTGGTGTGGGGGAGAAACCGCAGAGTGTGGGGCGGGGTGGCTCAGGGTTGCTTTCACCTCCCATTGGACTATGGGGTTGGTTCAGAATAGCTCTGAGATGCACTGCTGGGCCAAACTCCCGCACTGCCAGCTCCTTGTCTTAGCAATTCAGAGGCCTCCTGACAGCCTCAGTCCACCAATGGCATGACATCTTGAGAATGTCTGTCTGGATTCCACCTTTTGCTGGGAGGAGCAAGGGAAGAATATACAACTCTTTACTAAGAATGTGAAGAGGGAAGGCCTGATGGCTGTTCAGTAATGGCTCTTGGATGGTGGGTTGTTTTGACTCCATTGGACTTTGTCATCCTTTCACCTTGATGCCCACAGACCCTTCACTTTGGGCACCTTCATCCCATCATGGTATGTGGTTGTTCAGAACCTTCCCTGAGATTAGGGGAAGAGTGACAGGGTTGCTGGTGTGTTTGCTTAACTTCATACCCTTGCAGGCTAAAATTGGGAGGGCAGTATCTACTGTGAAGCTGAGCAGGAACCCTGAACCCCCATTACTGCTCTAAAGTGTTGACTTCAGCAGGGATTTCACACTGCTTGAAAGTTGGGCTAGGCTAACCCAGTCCTCAGACCCACTGCTCTGGGTGGGAAGAATAAACAGTGTAAATCTTGAAAAAAGCATTTGAGATTTCACTTTTTTTTTTTTTTTCTCCTAATTGCCTTTCTGGGAGAGAGGGCAGGCTCCTTAAAAAGTGGGGTCCCTACATTCCTCTTTGGGGGCTGAGGTAGATTCAGTAAGAGGGTACTTGCTAAGGAGCATGGGCTTGATGTATTTAGCTGAGGTCTAAATCTAAGGGCCTCCATTAGCTCTCCTGGAAATCACCTCCTCCTCTGTTAGCCTTCCTCTTGGAAGCCCAGTGTGTATTCTGATCTGGTAAGAACAAGAGTCAGTCTGCTCCTCTCATCAGCTTCTGAACAGTGGGCCAAGAGCTTTGCTGGGGGCTCCATCTTTTTTGTGCACTTGGGCTTGGAACTGATCTCTTTCCTTTAGCTTAGACGCTGCCTAGCAGTCAGTTCTGCAATCCCTAAGATCCATCATCCAGAAGATGTTGTTAGCATTGGTGGTAACTGCTATAGCTGACCTAAGCTGGCTCTTTCCAATCAACTATTAGAGATTAGCTAGAGCAAGCATAGAAAACCAAAGAACCCTAATACTGTCCACCATAAGACTTTAATTCCTAAAGGTGCTGGGTTACTGGAGAAGGGGTGTGTTTCCATGGTTCTGAGGCTGCTTGTCTTAAAGTGCTTTTTATGGCTATGGCTTTTCCTCCTTGCCCATCTTACCGTAGTCTTCATCTATATCACATGCATTAGGTTCTTTTTCTGGACTGTGGGTTAGGAATACAGGTGAAAGGTTGCAGGCTAGGAGGTGAGGAGGACTTGCCAGGAGGAAATAATGGTATGTTAGAATAAAGGAATGTCAGCACATGGTAACATGGTACCATGGTGCCATTGAGAGGTTAGAGATCAGCCCTCTCTGAGTTAGGGGTGAGTAGATTGTTTCTGCCATAGTGGGGTGGAAAGGGCATTCTAAGAGGAGGGCCTGGCATGTATAAAGGTAGGGTAAGTGCATCGTAGAACCTCATGACTTTTTTAGGTAACTACCAGGAATTTGCGGTGTTGCAGCAATAATGTGGTCCATATTATGAAGAGCCTGATACCATGTGGGGTTAGGAAGAAATGCATTTTCCTTACACTTGGGAAGGAGATGTGTTATGTGTTAAAAGCTTTGATACCCTTTGAAAGCTAAAGAGGACAACAGGGAACTAAGGAGAGGAGATGAGTTTCCTTTTCTTTTTCTTTTTAAATATATTTTTAGTTATAGACGGACCTTTACTTTATGTATTTATGTATGGTGCTGAGGATAGAACCCAGGACCTCACACATGCTCGATAAGCACTCCACCACTGAGCCACAACCCCAGCCCCATGAGTTTCCTTTTCAATCTGAGCCTATACCATCCCTCAGGTGGGTCTTGCTGGACACAGAACCTGAATCCTGCTTGAGGCAGGCTTTATGTCCCTGCTGCTGAATCCCATATCCAAGCCTGTCCTGTCCCAAGTGATTTTTCCATGGATAGCTAGGTAGTTACTGTGTCTCTGGAGAGGAGTAAATGGAGATCTTTTACAATACAAAGTAATAAGTTATAATAATTTTTAAAAACAATGTTATTTTTTTTTTTTTTTTTTTTAAATATTTATTTATTTAAGTTTTAGGCGGACACAACATCTTTGTTTGTATGTGGTGCTGAGGATTGAACCCGGGCCGCACGCACGCCAGGCGAGCGCTCTACCACTTGAGCCACATCCCCAGCCCCTAAAAACAATGTTATTGAGGGCTGGGTGTGTGCCTAGCATGTGTAAGCACCAGGTTCATACCCTGCACCACAATACAAAAAAACTACCAGGACTGGGGATGTAGATAAGTGGTAAAGTACTTGGCATGTGAGGGCTTGGGTTCTATACCCAGTGCCATGAAAAACAAGCCTTTTTTGAGGTATGATTGATATAATACATATTTATTATATTTATTACATTTAACTTGGTGAGTTTGGATTGGTTACTTCCCCCGCCACCTTTTTTTGGTGCTGGGGATTCAACTCGGCCTTACAAATGTGCTCTACCACTGAGCTATATCCCTAGCCCCTATGGCAATTTTTAGTTGGGGTGGGGCATCCCTGGGTAGTGGGTATTTGGATTCTTGGGTTGAGGGGAAATAAGTTTCTAAGAGGTGAATTAAAAAGTTGGGGGCTGGGTTGTAGCTCAGGGGCAGAATGCTTGCCTAGCATGTGTGAGGCACTGGGTTCGATCCTCAGCACCACATAAAAATAAAAAATAAAATAAAGGCATTCTGTCCATCTACAACTACAAAAAAAAAAAAAGAAAAATAGCAGCCTAATGGTAAGCTATATATAGAAAGGCAGGGGTTAATGGCAGCTAAAGGGTGTATAATTTGACTTAAGTTTGCTACCTTCTTACCCTAGTGTAACTGGATCAAGACTGTTCCTTCTGTAACTGTTACCTAGGGTTCATCATATGTCCTCAGAGGGATGTCAGGAGACAGCCAGATTCCTGGCAATGCTGAGAGGTTAGAAGTCAGTGAGGTATGGGTGAGTAGGAGATTGTTAGACCTGTGGGGGTGGAAAAGGTCAGAGTTTGTGTAGAGGAGTGTGAAGGAAGTCCAGGCTCCAGTGTGTGTGACTTGGATACCTTTTCTTTTCTGACGTTGAAAGCACTTGAAAGAACCTGGAACATCTTTGTGCTCTGTCTGCAGTCTTTTTTGAGTATGAAGAAAGGGAGACTTCTATGCTTACCTGAGCACTTACCCTAACTAGAAACAGGATCAGGCAGGAGGATTCTGGTAGGAAGGCAAGTTCCCTTCCTCTCTGGAGGGTGTTGTAGGTGCCTCCCCTCTGCTCAAATGACCTAACGGAGAGGCTGTACTAATAATAGTAAGCCTGTATGTAGTGTTTGCTGCAGACATGGTGCTAAACTCTTTACTATTTTATCTCATTGAACCTTCACAACAGCACTGTGAAATACTAACGTGTGTGGTACTGGAGATTGAACCCATGGGTACTCTACCACTGAGCTATATATCACCATCCCATTTTATTTTAAATTTTAAGACCTGTCTCACTAAGTTGCAGAGCCTGGACTCAAACTTGTAACCCCCTGCCTTAGCCTCCTGAGTAGCTAGGATTGAAAAGTGTGCCACTGTGCCTGGCTGAGTGCTTTACTTTACTGATAGTGCATTACTGTCATCTCATATAAACATGTCAAGAGAGGTTAAAACTTTCATGGAGCTATGAAGTGGTGAGGTTGGGATTTGAGTTCAAAATTACCTCTTAACCACATACTAGATTTTGCTGAGATTTAAGGTGGCAGAGAGGTGTCTGCAACCCAAGTTTTTAAGGACTGACCTCTGGGTACTTCTTGAGTCCCAAGTAGAAGACCAGAG